GTAGGAAACCTATAGGGCCTTTTAGGATTCCTATGGGAATCCCATAGGGATCCCATGGGAGTCCCATGTGGCTTTTAGGATTCCGATGGGAATCCCATGGGAATCCTTCCTGGGAATCCTGTAGGGTCTGTGCGAATGAAATACGGATCTTATAGGAATCCTTTGGGAATCCTATAGGGCCTCTACAAAGCCTATTGGAATCCGATTGGAATTCCAGAGGAATCCTATAGGGTCTCTACGAATTCTATAAGGATCCGATAAGGATCCGATAGGTTTCCGATGGGAATCCTAGAGGGCCTCTACGGATCCTATAGGAATCCAACTGGAATCCCATAGGAATCCTATAGGGACTGATTCCTTTGGGAACCCTATAGGAATCCGATGGGAATCCTATCGGGCCTCTTCGAATCCTATGCGAATCCAACAGGAATCCGATGGGAATCTTATAAGGCTTATCCGATTCCCATCGGAATCCTTTCTAGGAATCCTCTAGGGCCTCTACGAACCCCATAGCAATCCTACGGGAATCCCAGAATAATCGTTTAGGGCCTATACGAATCCTATAGGCATACTATAGCAAACTCGTAGGAATCCTATAGGGCCTCTGCGAATCTTTTAGGATTCCTTTTGGAGTGTTTTAGGATTCCTTTTGGGCTTTTACGAACCCTATAGGACCCCTATAGGAATCTGACAGGAATCCCAAAGGGCCTTTACATATCTTATAGGACTCCCATCGGAATCCTATAAGGCCTCTACGAATCCGATAGGAATCCTATGTGATTTTATACGTACCATACAGGGCCTCCACGAATCCTCTAGGAATCCTATAGGAATATTATAGGAATCCTAGAGGGCCTCTACGAATCCAATACGAGTCCTGTAGGAATCCTACGGGAATCCTATAGGGCCTCTGCGCATCTTATAAGAAGGGCCTTCACGAATCCTATAGGAATCCTGCGGGAAGCTTTTACGAATCCTATGGAAGTCATATTTACGAATCTTATAGGAATCCCATAGGGCCTCTGGCCTCACAGTGAGCTCCTCCGAAGCTTCATTTCGGCACACCTCTCTCGAGGATCGAGGCCCTGGCCTCAGAGGGCTCCTCCGAAACTTCATTTCGGCACACCCTTCTCGAGGATCGTGGCCCTGGCCTCACAGAGGATTTCTCCGAAGCTTCATGTCGGCACACCCCTCAAGGATGATCGTGGCCCTGGCCCCACAGGGAGCTCCACCCACGCCTCATTTCGGCACACCCTTCTCGAGGATCGATGCCCTGGCCGCACAGGGAACTCCACCGAAGCTTCATTTCGGGACACCCCTCTCAAGGTTTGTCGCCCTGGTCCCACCGGGAGCTCCACCGAATTTTCATTTCGGCACACCCCTCTCGAGGACCGTGGCCCTGGCCCCACAGGGGGCCCAACCGAAGCATCATTTCGGCACCCCTCTCGAGGATCGTGGCACAGACCCCACAGGGAGGCCCACCGAAACTTCATTTCGGCACACCCCTCTCGAGGATCGTGGCCCTGACCCCACACGGAACCCCACCGAAACATCATTTCGGCACACGTCTCTCGAGGATCGTGGCCCTGGCCCCACAGGGAGCTCTTTTCGTTCCCGTGCCGGCCCAGCTTCTAACTCGCTTCTGCCGTGCAGGAGGCACGGCGGCGGATTTGACTCCCGTGGCTCTGGTGGCCTTGCGGCTGACGGCGGCACGCTCCTCTCCCTCTCTTCATATGTGGTTCAAGCCATTTGGGCATGCGCCTCCCAGGCCACTGAGGGACGCCGGGCAACACGCCGGGACCCATGGGGATTCTATATCATCCCTTAGGGATTCTATAGCATCCCTTAAGGATTTTATAGCATCCCTTCGGGATTCAATAGCATCCCCTTAGGGATTATATCGCATCCCTTTAAGGATTCTATAGCATCCCTCAGGGAGTCTGCAGCAGTCCTGAAGGATTCTATAGCATCCCGTTAAGGATTCTATAGCATCCCCTTAGAGATTCTATAGCATCCCCTTAGGGATTCTATCGCATCCCTTCAAGGATTCTATAGCATCCTTCAGGGATTCTATGGCATCCCTGAGGGATTCAATAGCAGCCCTCAGGGATCCTATAGCTGCCCTCAGGGATGGTATAGCATCTCTTTGAGGATTCTATACCATCCCTCAGGCATTCTACAGCATACCTTAAGGATTATATAGCATCCCCTTGAGGATTCTATAGCATCCCTTAGGGATTCTATAGCATCCCTCAAGGATTCTATAGCATCCCCTTAAGGATTCTATAGCATCCCTTAATGGTTTTATAGCATCCCGTTAGGGATTTTATTGCATCCCTTAAGAACCCTCAGGGATTCTATGCCATCTTTTCGGGTTTCTATAGCGTCCCTCACGGATCTTATAGCAGCCCTTAGGGATTCTATAGCAGCCCTTGAAGAATTCTTAGCATCCCTCTGGGATTCAATGGTACCCCTTAGGAATTCGATAGCATCCCTTAGGGATTCTATAGCAGCCCTCAGGGATTCTATGGCAGCCCTTAAGGATTCCATAACATCCCTCAGGGATTCTGTAGCAGCCCTTAGGGGTTCTATAGCATCCCTTAGGGATTCTAGAGCATCCTTTCGGGATTCTATAGCATCCCTTAGGGGTTCTGCAGGCTCCCTTCAGGAATTCTATAGCATCCCTTAAGGATTCTATAGCATGCCCGAAGGTTTCGGCTCGGGGGGGCGCACATAGTTTCAGCTCGTGGGAATGCGTTGGCTTTCTTAAGGACCCCGAAGGATTCCAGAGGATGTTCCAACGGCTTCCTTTGGTTTCTATTGCCAGCCATATGTTGCGTTGCGTTGCGTTGCGTTGCGTTGCGCCGGGGGGGGGGGGAGGGGGGGGTTCGGGTCCACCAGTGAGATGTTTCGCCACAAGGAGCGAAACAGCGAGCTGGTGGATCTTCACCGGGTCCACCAGCCGGTTGTTTTGCCTTGTTGTTGTTGTGGTTGTGGTTGTGGTTGTGGTTGTGGTTGTGGTTGTTGTTGCTGCTGCTGTTGTTGTTGTTGGACTATAAAAGAAATCGGGTCCAAAATCTGCACGACCGTTGAACGGGAATGAAAAGAAAACGGTCACCCCCTCAGGACATCAAACAATCATGCCGGGAGATTATATATATATATATATATATATATATCGGCCTCTGTGGGCCCTCACCGGCCCTCGGGACTGTCAGAACACGATTGAGCGGGTTCAGACCGCTGGGGGGCCACGTCGTGAAGGAAAGATGGCACCGGGGATGGCTGGAATTCATGACTGGGGCCCTGGATATTGTTTTCGCATGTTCTGGCGCGTAGCGGCTGCCACCTGGACCCCCGCCCACGATGCTCGTGCTTGCGCGCATGCTCTCGCGATCGCACCGCACCCCCGCCCCAACGTGCCCCACCAGGCCCAAGCGCTACCGTTACGCAGGGTCCCCCCCCAATCCCCCCTACGGGAACGACCGTGACCCGAAATAATAGAGTCCGTAAACAAGATCCTGGACTCCAGGGCGTTCTAAGATCTCGGGTGACTGGTTAACAACATTCAGTTTGCGCGCGCGGGGCCGGACGAAGAGGACCCCGGCAAGGTCCTGGCAAGTCCAGGCAGGGTCCCGGCAAGTCCTGGCAAGGTTTAAGTCGGGCCTGTCCCTCTACAGGAAAGTAGTAAAACAATAGTCTGGGGACGAGAAATAGCCTGGGGACGATTTTTTAAAACTATGTTTGATCATGTTTTGTTCGCCAAAAATCCCCCTGCAGGGGGACAGGCCCGACCTAAGGCAAGGTCCTGGGCAGGCCCTGGGCGGGTCAGGGCAGGCCCGGGCCAGGTCCCAGCAGGCTCGCAGGAGGAGCGTTCCGGGAGCGCGTCAAGGGGCCTCCAATAGGGCGACGAGATCTATGCATATCCACTGCTCCTGGCCAGGCCAATCCTGGGCCCAGGAGCGGTGTATACGCCCTCCTGGCCTGGCCAGGGAGGCATATATACAGCTCCTGGGCCCAGGATGGGCCTGGCCAGGAGCAGTGGATATGCATAGATCTCGTCGCCCTATCCAAGGGAGCGCCAAGGGGCCCGAGGCGGCCCGAGGGCGATCCAAGACGCCAAGGATGGCCTCCAGGCAGCCCCAGCGCGCCTGCAAGGCGCCCCAAGAGGCCTCCGCGAGACCTCCCAAGAGGGCCCACGGGCAGAGATGAGTGATTTCCTCCCAGGTTTTGGAGGTTTTTGGCGTTCTCGCCTGGGGGGCTTACCGGCGCTGCAAGACGGCCCAAGAGGCTTCCAGGATCGCCCCAACACGGCCCAAGAGGCCTCCAAGAGCTCCGAAAACGGTCCAGACGGCCCTAAGACAGCCCCAGAGGATTCCAAGATGGCCGAAGAGGCTCCCAAGACGGCCCCAAGAGCGGGCCCAGATGAGGGACCCGAACGGACGTGTCGAGCTCTAGGCGCAGAGAGGTCTCCTGGAAGCCCGAAGAGACCCCCAAGAAGCCCCCAAGAGGTCCCCGAGAGGCCGCAAGAGACCCCGAGAGGCCCTAAGATACCTCCCAAGAGCGAAGCGATTGAATAATAATCAAGAAGCAATATCCTGGGCTCCACTTTTCCGCGGTTCTTCTCGAGCGCGATTGATAATTGTGAGGCCTCGGAGCCTGAAGCCAGGCGAAAGCGTCCAGTACGAAAAAGTTGTAGCGCCCGGATCGTCGATACTATCGAGATGGACACCGGAAAGATTTGGGACGAAAGCCAGCAGCAGTTCTGGCCCATTGTAAGAGGAGTCGCTGCGGGTTTCGCCGCGGACGTCGTCCATTTGAGACACAAGGTTGCCTGCCCAACAGCGGCCGCTGTCGGTTATGGACAACACTTGCTGCTGGGCATCGTGCTCATTCTCTCCGTACTCAGTTCGGACGTGCCAAGATACAGTCAAGACGCTGAAATAAGGAACTGTTTGTGTTCGGAAGGGCCTCGATGCTCCCTAGATTCCTCCGTTGCTGTCCCCCTCGCCCTCCTCGGGCACGGAGGCGCTTTTCGGGCCAAAAAGGGGCGCCGTTCCTTATTTAGCGTTCCTTCTTTCAGCGGCCCGACTGTAAGATCGGTAGAGTTCTGGGAACACCGACGGTGGACGTCTGGGCGGACTCGACCGGACTCGGTGCGGCATATCGGCGGCGGCCGCTGGCAGCATGGGCGAGCCGGCGCAGAAGAAGGCCAGGGTCGCCGACCTCTCCGCGCTGCACCAGTTCACCTACACGGAGGCCAAGAGTAAGCAATACACATATATATATATATATACATACATACATACATACATCCATCCATCCATCCATCCATCCATCCATCCATCCATCCATCCATCCATACATACATACATACATACATACATACATACGTCAAACATGTAAAACAAACAACAAAACAAAACCTACACGGAGGCCAAGGTCATCGCGGAGATCGGCTGCAACCACAGGGGCGAGATCGAGACTGCCAAAGATCGAGCAAGAACGAGCAACATACACCTACACTTTCGAAGGCCAGCGCGGATCTCTTGGACCGGCGCTGCCGCCCCCCTCCCTGTCCCGCGGAGCGCGCCAGGGGCGGCACTGCAGGCTCTGCCAGAGGGCCCAGCGCCGATCCAAGAAACTAGCGCGGACCTCCAGAAGATTCCGTTTCTGTTGGTTCCTCCTTGCAGGAGCTGCTCACGCTCTGCAAGGAGGCTGGCGCCACGGTGGGCAAGTTCCAGAAGCGCTGCCCCAAGGATCGACCACGCGCCAGACTTCAAGAGAGGAAAAAGCACCCCGACCCCGATCATTGGCGTTTGCCAGACGGCTCTGGGCGTTTGTTAAACCGCCCTGCCATGCTCCATTCCTTCCTTGGGTGCGTTTACCAAACGGCTTCGCTTATCGGGGTGGTTTTTCATGGGGGTGGGCTTTCTGCCCTCTCAGACAGGCCCTTTGCCGGAGCGACGTCCAATGCGCGACCCTCGGGGGGCCCCGCGGCGAGATCCTGGCAAGGCACGCGTGCTGCCGCCGCCGCACCGCACGCGACCCTCGGCCAGCCGCGCACCAGAGGCCACTCTCGCCTGCAGCCCCCCGCGAAGTCGAGCACACGCTTGGATCCGACACCCCCCTCGCCACCGAATGCCGATGTGGCTGGGCGCGCGCAGCGCGGCCCGCGGGGCCAGCCAAAGGTTGCAGTCGCCAGAGTCGGCGCCAGCATTGAGTTCTGGGGGCCTCCGGGGGCGTCGCCACGTCGTGGGCAAGACTCGCGTCTGACTTCGAGGAGGAGGGATGCAGGGTCGGCCTCCCTCGTGCAGCCGAGAGGAGCTCCTGACGCCGGAGCAGTACAACGCGCCCCACCCGAATCCTCAGAACTCCTTCGGCTCGACCTACGGGGAGCACCGCGAGTTCCTCGAGCTGAGCCTCGATGACCACCGCGAGCTCCAGAACCACTGCAAGTCGATCGGGCTCGAGTACTCCTGCTCCACGTGGGACTTGACTTCTGCGAAGGAGATTGTCCAGCTGAATCCCTGTTTGATCAAGGTCGGATCTCCCTCCAACATGCATTGGCCGATGATGGAGTACCTCCGTGAGCACTACACCGGGGAAGTTCATATCTCAACGGGCATGACCACGAAGGATGAGAGGGGATGCGCAGAGCGAAGTGGGAGGAGGAGCAGGAGTAGGAGGAGGAGGAGGAGGAGGAGGAGGAGGAGGAGGAGGAGGAGGAGGAGGAGGAGAAGGAGGGGATGGATGTGTAGGGAGGCATGGAGGGGGGGGAGCGCTATTGAGCAGGGAGGGGCTGATCTAGACCTGGGCCTGGGGATCCGCCAGAAACTGAGAAGGAACAGAGGGGGAAGAGTGTGAGGGGTAGGCATGGAGGTGAGAAGGGACCAGCGGGCATGACCACCAAGGATGAGATCGAGCAGATCGTGAAGTTCTGGGAGGAGGGCAAGGGCGATGCCAAGAACCGCGTCGTGCTGTACAACTGCACCTCGGGCTACCCCGTGCCGTTCAAGGACGTGTGCCTGCTCGATATCCGCCTGCTGCAGGAGAAGTACCAGCACCGGGTCAAGCACATCGGCTTCTCGGGGCACCACCTCGGCATCGCCATTGATGTCGCTGCGTACGCGATGGGTGCGGTCTGGATCGAGCGCCACTTCACCAAGGACCAGTCGACCGACAAAACCGGCACGATGTGCCTTCCGGAGGTCCGCACGGGCTTCTCGGATTGGCGCTGCACCCTTGCCCTACCTACGCGCCTTCTCCGGCGCGAGGGAGGCGCGCGCCAGGGTGAGCGAGGAGTGGGGAGGCTCAGCGATGACCCAGGACATCCGCTCGGGCCTGCGGGCGGCTTTATGCCTGGTGCAGTTTTCGTCGCCCTTCCTATGTCATCCAAAGGGGCGTTCTGCGCACCGCGGCTTGGGGAATGTTGGAGAGGCACGGCCTTCTTCACGGCGGCCGCGCGAGTGCGCGAGAATGTCCGCGCGTCGCGCATCCCGGTTCGCGATGCGCGAAGCTAGGCGACCTACCGTAGGCGCACCGAATAAGAAGCTGGCCTGCCAAGGGTTCCACCACGAGAGCTTCTTATGTCCCGATGAGCCCGCAAAGCCCTGGGGCGCCTCACGAAGCCCAGCGTCGACCAAGGATGCGCCCCCAGATTTCTGTCCGCAACAGGTGTCGTCGTGTGTGCCAGCCGCTGCCCTCCGAAGGACCGCACGTGGAAGGGCACCGACCACGCGGCCTCCCTGGAGCCGGCCGGGCTGGCCAAGCTCGTCCGCGACCTGGGCGCGTGCCACACCGCCTGCACGTACAAGGAGACGGACATCTTGCCGCTGGAGTCGGAGCAGCGCGCGAAGCTGAAGTGGGGCCTCTACAACAAGGACTCGGAAGGGACCCGCCCAAGCCGGTGTTGTGCAGCCGTGCAGCGGGGGCCTCCGTGTGGCGTTGTACCGTTCCTGCTATGAGTAGAGTCAGTGCCCTCTCCGTGCCACTTCCGCGCCGATTTCGTGCGCCCGTGGCCGTTTTGCTCCGATGGCGCTAGGCCCACGGAGGACATTGAGCGTATCCGAACGGAGGCGGACATGAAGTGGAACGACAGCAGGCGCTGGAGCGTAGCGCGAAGACTCTCATCCCAGACTCCCGACGTCATGATTTTTTTTTTGAACGTCGACCCCCAGAGGTCTCGACCCATTCCCAGGGACCGGTGTTTCATCCCGAGTCGGCTTGTCTACGGTCCCGAAGGGCCGGTGAAGGGCACCCACTGAGGCCGACGCCGGCGGCACACCTGCCGTCATATGATTTCTTCCTGACCCGAGGGGGAGGACCCGGGATGCTCGGTACCGTTTAACCGACCCCCATTACCATCCTCATCCCCTTCGAGACCCCCACCAAATTACACCCCCAGTTGGGGATGCACCCCTCGAGCTCCGAAGGATGCGGCCTGTGTCCCCATCCAGGGGGGTAACTCGGCCAGTGGGGCCCGGTCCACGCTGGTGGGGCTGGGGATCGGTGAAACGATACTCAGCGACAGCGGTGGTTCCGCTGCTGCCTTTCCCGCCGTTGGGAGGGGCAGGCGGCAGCGCTTCTGGCGAGCCGGCGGCGCAGGCTTGGGACCTGGGCCGCGGCTCGCTCGGCGCTGCTGCGGCGGGGGCGTTGGCTGCCCAGGCCCCCCATCGAGGCGTGGAAAAATCATGACGGGAGGTCTTTCTCGCTATTTTCGGCCTCGGGGGGCCCTTTCACCGGCCCTCGAAACCGTCGACAAGCGGCTCGGGGTGAAAAGCTGGTCGGGTCGAGACCTCTGGGGGTCGACGTTCGGAGAAAATCATGACGTCGGGGGTTCGGGTACGGAGTGTGCCCAGCAGGCTTCAGACCCTGGGGGGGCTCCTCCTCTGACGAGGGCGGCAGTGGTATCCCTGGCCGATCCGCGACTGGAGCCTTCGAGCCCCTGGATTCCTCCTCCAGCTTGGTGCCTTCCTCAGTGTCCTCGCCGTGCTGGATCCGGCGGGGACCCTCCAGGCGCCCCGGCCGCGGGGCCCGATGCGGGCACCCTGCGACCGCTCGCGGGCCCAGAGCTCCTGCACGGCGTGGCCGCCTCGGCCCCGGCGCGCTTTGTCCCTCGACCTCTCGGCCTCCGCGGCCCGATCTCTCTCGGCCTCGGGGCCCACAGGTGGGCCTCGGGGCGAGCGGCCCCCCCCGCGGGGGGAGGGGGTCGGCCCCCGGCGCTTTGTCCCTCGACCTCTCGGCCTCCGGGGGCCCGATCTCTCGGGCCTCGGGGCCCATATGTGTGGGCCTCGGGGCGAGCGGCCGCCCCCCCCGCGGGGGGGAGGGGGGGTCGGGCCCTCGCTGGCGGGGCCGAGGGCCGCAAGAGGGACGGAGCGTCGGGGGCCTGGGAGCCTGACCCCTGCAGGCCCACCTGGAGTCAGGGGGGGGAGCAAAAACAAACGCAGACACAATCAACCGTCGGTTCCCAGGGAAAGATGGGGAAATATGGGAGGTGGGGGGGGGGAGACAGAAACCCAGAAAGCATGGGAGAATATATGGAATCTCGTTATGTGTGTGTATTTGTATATATATATATATATAGATGTGTGTGTGAGTGAGTGAGTGTGAGTGTGAGTGAGTGTGTGTGTGTGTCTTTGGACCCCTTGATTGATGCCGCACCCAGCAGAACTCTCGCGGTGAAGCGGCAGCTCCCGTGGACTCCAGACTGTTCGCTTCAGAGGAGCGGGCCTGTGGCCTGGACCCTGGGCGTTTCCTCTCTTGGAGCTTCTCCTGGCGTAGAACTCCCGTAACCTTTAGACCTGGGCTGCTTGCTCGCAAAACTCGCTTGGAGTGAAGGCCTTCCTCTTGGCGGGGAGCTTCCTGAACTCTCAGGCGGGGGCGCAGGGCAGCGGACACCCCCGCTGGGGCCCGCTCGGCGGCCGGGCGCCCTCGAGCTCGGAGCCCGCCTCTGGCGCGGCAGCAGCGCGACCTGCAGGGGCACTCGGCACTCGGGGCTCGTGCCTGGTGGACTACAGTCGGCCCAGAGTAGTAGGTCGACCCTGCCAGCTCAAGGGTACCCTTGTGTCCTGTGCCTCGCGACACGTGCCTTCTTACACTCCTATGGCGACGTGGCCCTCGGAAGGGTCTTGTGCCCTCTCGCGTGCCCTGTCCAATCAAGGCCGACTGTATGCGCCAAGTCGTTTGGCCGGCCAAGAACCACAGGATGAGAAGCCACCCCGAACCTGGCCATACGATGCTGGACACCTCCAAGTGGTGATGGCGGGACGGCACCCCGTGCCGAGGCCAAGTTCAGCGACATCGCCCCGTTGGCAGGGCATCAAATCTCTCTTGATGAGGTTGTGATCTTCGGGGCTGAAGTTCATGATTCTCAACTTCCAGTACCAGGACGCGCTGCGGATCCACTGCTGGGTGGCGGTGGTGAAGGTCACCCAGGTGGCCGTGCAGGGCAAGGCGCTCTACGGGCTCGACGTGGACGGGGGAAGCGCATCGATGACCTAGCTGAGCAGATCAAAAACATTACGGTTGCGATGAGTGCACTGAGCGGGACAGTGCTGCCTGGGACATCGCCAAATACTAAGAAGGGGGGCCGCAAGCTCGAGCCGCCAACACTTCAGAAGATACGTCAGCTTCTTGATAAGTATGACAAGGGGAACTACACTTTGAATGAGTATCAAGTGCAGCAACGTCTCCGCGCGATGTTGCCGAGGGTCGATACTACTAAACGTGGGAAAAGCAAAGATGATTCCACTGCTGAGAATGTCGCCGCTTCTTCCTCAACGACGTCCACGAGTCCCACGCCCAAGCAGGGACCGAGGCCAATACCTAGAATTTTGACGAGCGACTGGGGGAACGACGTGCCGATCTGGGTGGCACAGTCCTTGAAGGAGCGAGTCTATGAGAATGGGAAGCCTCCTATCATTGTATGCAATACGATGGTGGAATATCATGCAGCATATGATTGGCTTACTGCATCTTGCGGATCAGCTGCCACATTCATAGTCTTTTCAATGTCTGAGAATATCCAGGGGGCTATTGCAGACGAAGTTTTGACATCTGGGGAGAAAGGTTCAGTACCGCTCAAGTGCCAGATCTACTACTACGGAGACGGCGCGCCTAGGCGCCAAGGATTACCGCAAGGAGTCAAAGATGATGATGAATACCAGGCCCCGAGGTCACCCACTACGGTGATGAGACTGACGTGTGCCAAGAATTTTGCTGATGACGATGTTTTCGGACGAGCGTCGCAGAAGCCAGCCAGCCTCCCGTCTATTGTATTCAATGCAGAGTTGTGCAGGCATATTGTCCGCACAAAGGGGGCTCTCAATTATGAAAGTGAGATCACAATGCTGCTGATCATCAAGACCGATGCTATATCAAAGTTCCTGGAGGAGAAGCTCCCGAAAGGGGTTTTCTGCAATTACCAGCAGTCCAAGATCATGCCGCGGTGGTTCAAGCAGAGGCAGGACGAGTCCGTCGACGAGTACTGGAACAGAGTGGTTGCAGCAGCGGCCACGGTTGCAGGTCGCCTTTTGTACCGCCCAAGTGATGATGCGCCCCTTGGGGTGCTCAGTGAGAAGCAAGTTGGATCGGACCTCCTCCCCAGGTGGGCGGTTCAGCGTGCACCGGCGGAGTGGACAGCGCCCGAGGATCTTTCAACCTGGGCAATCCAGAGAGGATGGGCGAATGTAACGTCACCGACACGTACGGGACGACGCACATGGTTTTTTCGGGGAGACCTTGCTGCAGCGTGCTCGCAGAATGACAAGGCGTACAACTTCAGCAGTGGGGTCATCGTCACACCAGCGAAGCCACCGCAGCGGAAGGATCGTGAACGACCGCAAGGAGTCAAAGCTCAGAGTGTGTGGGGGGTAGCACCGCCCAAGGTCACCTTCACCACGCAGGATGACGAAAAACCAGATGATGAAGCACCTCCAGACCCGCCTCCAGCGCCACCTGCTGCTGCTGAGGGTACTGAAGGTGACCATCAACATCGTCGACCAGCCGAAGCAGCCCCTGCGGGAGCTCGCGCGGCCAAACAAGCGAGAGCTGCAGCTCCAGACCCACCGTGGAAGGAGCGCTGCGACATACAAGACAATGGAGGGCAAGGTGATTGTGCATACATAGCCGTGGGCCTTGGTCTTCATGAGCTCAAGCCTGGACACAAGCCTGTACCCGCCAACGAGCTGGTCCCTGGTGGACGTGTCCAGCAATCTTTGCGTCTCCTGGTGGCGGGAGAGGTAAAGAAGAACAAGCAGAAGTTCGGAGCTACGGACGCAGATATTCAAAGAATTGGAACGTGTGGGAAAATGGCTGATTCTCTTACAATCAGGTGTACCTCTATCGCCGCAAGAGTTGATATTCGTATTTGGAAATTCAATCCAGATACCAATGGGGGCAGGTGGACCCTCTACACGAGCCCCAAGAAGTACAACAGAGTAGTATGGGTCATGTTGAAAGATCAGCACTACCAATTGCTACGCACTCACCAAAGAAGTTGCTCAGCAATGGTGTGAAGCGGCCTTGCCATACCCAGATGCCTTCACGGGTGGAGGCAAAAGCGTGGCAGCATCCAGCAGCCACAAGGACGACGATTTCGACGAGGATGCCGCGAGGAGTTTCTTTGGAATATCGGCGGCATCTACGACGTCTGGGGTCAAGAGGGCGAGGTCCTTATTAGGTGTCACGCCCAAGTCACGACGGAAGTCCAGAGCAAGCGCATCAGCGGCAGGTCCTGCTGAAGCTGTTCCTGATGAAGCTGCAGACTTGGAGCCATGCACGCCGGTGGATGTCTCACGGTCGGCGCATTTGAAGTGCCCAAGTTGTGGTTGGCTCCCATCTCGAGAGCAAGCTTGTGAAAGAGCTCAGGAGGCACGGGCTC